GAATATACTATAAGAATATTCTCTCTACATTACTAATTTAATCGACAACTTCTTACAGGTTTCTGTGAGATAATACTGAAGTATCAAAGTAATATTTATTCTTAAGATCACAAATATTCAAAGAGGCTTTCAATAATTAGTTTGCACATTCAGGATTCATTCAACAAAGAAATTTGCCAGTGTTATTACAATCATAGTTACTGCATTTCTCTGTTCAGTACTACCAAAACCATGTTTTGCTGTATTCTGCTCTCAGTATCTAGAAACAAAGTAGCTTTTAGAAAGAATTATTTTCTTTCACAGCTTCTAACAGATCCTGTAGATCTGTCACAACACATGTGTTACCAGGTTAGTCGCAAAGTTAAATGCCAAGACTGGCTGAGGCCAGACAGAAAAGATGGAAGAGGTGGGTAGCAGGAGATGTCAACCACCTGCACAAACTACTGCTTGAGTTAAGCGTTTCCCAGCTTAATTATTTCCTTTATTGTTTCTGAATTGTAGCTTGTGTGACTAAACCACGTCTGTTTCTGCTGCCAGTACATGCATACATATATATGTGTACACATATAAATATATAGATGTGTGTATAATTATATATTTACAAAGGGATATGTGTGAATAACAGCTATACTGCTTATGCACACAGGTGTGACTGTAGCCCCTCCTGTGATTTCCATACTAACTTCTACTGGTGACAAAAACCAACAGAAATTTCAGCAAAGTGAGGATGATGAGGTATTACTGTGTACCCTGAGTCTTTGCCAGGTGTTACTTTCACTTGTGCCAGCCAAAGTGTGCTGCAATTACACCTCGTTTTTACCATATCAACACTGCCTCAGAACGAAAGGCATTTTCTGCTTTAATTCTTTGATTACACAGCACACAAACATAATGGACTTCTGGTCAGTAACAGGGACCTACAGGCAGTCCTGCCATGCAAAGAACACTGGTGTGCTAGTAGCACTTGAGCTGGAAAACTGCATGGACTTTTAATTTGTGAAGTACTGCAGATGTCTGAATGTAACAAGCAGCTAGGGAAATCAATAAAATTCTACAACCAAGCCTTTTGTTTTCTTTTCCTCCCCTCAAAAGGAATTCAGCAAAGCTCTTATTTATCAAATAAAAATCAATGTTTAATTGAGCATATCTTAGAATTATTTCATTAAAACAAACATACACTCACTTCTGATTTTGGCTATTCATATTTACATGTTATGCTACTTACCTACTACATCTTTCATCACAGATTTTAGTTTTCAGTTTCTGGATCAGGTGATCTAGTAAGTCAGATTCTAAAACCCTTTTCTCCGTCTGTCTGTCTTTCTCAAAGGATTTCACCTGCGATGTAGTTCAGTGGTTCTTAAGATTGTTGATTCTTAAAATAGCATATGAATAAACTTATCAAATTTAATCAAAACCAAACTGGATTATTCACCTGTTAAAGGTGAAGCAGTGAAAGGTAGGAAGCCATCATCATTACCAATTGATCACTGCCATTTAAATTTTTTGTAAGTATTTTTTTTTTCCAACCAACTAATTCTTTCTGAATTCCCAAAGCTTAAACAAGCTTGGCTACTCGTCTTCAACATGTGATAATTACTTTTTTAAGAGAATGGTTTATAGATGCAAATACCATATAAATAATAACGTATTTGGTTTGGGGCTTTTTTTGTTTGTTAAGGAATTATGTTAGAATAAGGCCTGCCTTTCAGTTTGCAAGAGTTACACTCAAGCATTCAAAACTTAGGAATATGTGCTCCATCTTTACTGGGAAGACGTTAATCAGTAACAATACCGTTCTCCTCATTATCATATTCGTGGTTGGTTTTGTTCCAATACAGCTGCATTTAAAAGAACACTGTAATAGTCTTATGGAAGACAGGATGATTCGCATCGATACTTGATGTATCGCATTCTCATCATCAAAATCTACTTGTTCATACAGTTATTGCACAGTTATTTGCTATCTCTGTTACAATGCAAGGAGAGTGAATAACAAGTTAAAAATATTTTAGTAATGTACATTGGCTAGGTAACATGGTCTTGACAGATGCTGTCAAATGGTTATTTTTTTTTTTTCCCCAGTCAAAGAATGAATCTTTATTCAAAGAATTATGATCTTTTTCCTAATGATCCAGAATCAAGAATATTTTAGAACCATACAATCTTTGGGTTGGAAGGGACCTTTAAAGGTTATCTAGTCCAACCCTCCTGCAATAAGTAGGGACATCTTCAACTAGATGAGGTTGCTCAGAGCCCCGACCAACCTGACCTGGAACGTTTCCAGGGATGGGGCATCTACTCATACTCCTCTTTAAAACTTTTAACTTCTAAAAAGGTACCAGAACCACAGGCTGCAGAGCACAGAAGGTGGTTAATTCATGTTGTGACACAGTCCAGTCTTTTCACCTTAACTTTAGCTTAGCGGGGTAAGGAGTGTGGCTTAGACTCTGCCTGTCTCAATTACATGGATTTTTTTAGATTTATGTTTTAGTTATATTTGTTTTGTAATACGGAAAGCTGTCAACTGGAAAGATGACTGAGTCAACTAATTAATTTTGTAGATTCAAAAAAAAAAATCAGACAACAGAAACATTTTTCCATGTAAAGACAGCAATAACTCAAAGTCAAGCAATGTTTGCACTCATTTTCAGACTTTCCTAAATGAAAGGAGGTCTGTGACTAACAGTGTTATGAACAGATAAAAAGCAGGCTTCTTCAGAACTTTCTGCTACTTAGGAACTGAAACTGTTTACCTGAATTCAATCTACTTAAATACTTTACTGAAAGTAATCATGATCTTAAAAAAATGAAATGCAGAACTACAGATTATAAATCTGAAACACTATGAAGCAAGCATCCTCTGGTCTGACACTTACCTTCACATGGCTTCCTTCTTTATCTGACACAAGAGCCACATATGTAATTCCAGAGCATCTGCAATATTCCTGCAGTTCTTCCTGGGACTAAAATGGGAAGAGGGGAAGAGGAATAGGACAGATTATCAAATGATCACATTAGGAATCTGTTTAATTAATAAATCTCCTGTCCTTAATTAAAATAACTTCATATGCAGCAGTTATTATATAAGCTTCTGAGTGAGGAAAGCTTTATTAACAAGTCCAGGAGGTGAAACTTCATTACGCATATATTTATCCACTTAATACTCCTTAAATATTGAACTCTGTCTACACCTACACTAGACTGAGACAATGCCTAGGGCCTGCAGTTCTAGTTCCCACATGGAAGAGCTGGCTGGATCTCGAAGTGCAAGTTCTAGGTAACTGTAAAATTTGCTATGTAACGTCAATCAAACAGTTACCACCCCACTGTCTGCAGCTTTCAGTAACAGCTCAGTCCTGCATGACTGGTAGTCTGTCATGAAAGCTGGGTTTCATGTAAACCTGAGGCTGACTTACATCATTCTTGGTGCTGAGTTTACTGAAGGGCTTGCTATGCTGACTTAGCAGTGGGCTGCAGGATGGCATTAGACAGAGGCAAGAACTACCCAAATCTTCATTCCTTAAGAATTGCAAAATGAAAAAACCCAGGGTGATAATAGGAAAAGCATAATGATCTGGATTTTTTTTTTAAATTCTGAGGGATTGAAACTGTCAGAAATGTTACGGCAAAAGATTACAAAAAAAGTCAATGAAGTGAGCGAGCTGCAAACTCTACAGCACATGACTCAGAATGGGCAACTGCACAGTGTTTCTTATGTTAGTCACCAACTGGCATACTTAAAGGTGAACCAGACTCATGACTCCCATACAACTGCCACCACTATTAAAAGGGATTTCAGCATCACCATGTAGCTCACTACTCCAGTGAGGCAGTAGTGGCTAAAGGTCTGCTTGGTTTCAAGTGGAGAAAAAAGGGCACAACTCAGCTTGCCACCTTCTCTCCCTCCTACCACATCTCTCTCCAGGGACTACATGGGGACCCCATAGTGTTACCTAGTAGCTCAGTTTACAAAACTGTTTTTCTAACAGCAGGATGATGTCAGTATTCCCTCTATATCTCATAGTCTTCAGGCATCTGGATATATGTAAAAGTTGATGCTACTGTTCTGTTCCAGACGTGCCCTTTATTAAGGATTAACTCATTAATTCAGGGATCTTACTTGCAGCCATCGTTGACAGGAAAATTTATTTCCTTCACTGGTACAAAATATGCTTCTGCTTTGAAGCATCCTCACTTCACTTAATTGGAGCTAACCGGCCTCATTTTAAATTCATTATGCAACTTTTCCCCTTGATTTCAATAGGCCTTAGACTCCACACTCAGTGTATAATTGCAGAAGGTCACTTAATTCTTCTGTGCTCTGAGAAGCTCATAAACATCCTCCCTCACACTTTTAAATACTCTGCAAAATAAGAGATGAAGAATACTGCAAGGCCAGTGAGACCTTCCTAACATTATTGTATCTGAATAGAACCCTGCAAGCTCAGTTACGAGTTATGAGTCTGTAACTCAATAAAAACTAGAAAAAAAAAAATCAAAAAAGGATGGTCTCAGGCTGCACTATCTTAGAGAATGACAATAATAGTTAACACACGGAGACAGAAATGCTACCTGCGACCAGTCATACATTATTTCGGCTGGAATTCCTGCAGTCCAGAGTTTCTGAACAATATTGATCGCTCTACCCATTGACATCTGACCAACACTTACAACCAGCAGGTCACACGAGCTGACAGAAACCTGAAGGCAAAAGTAAAAACAAGGAGGACAATATTAGCCACAATACCACCTTTTCTCCTCCATAAGGGAGTTAAAGTAACAAAGGAGGATAAAAATACTAATGTTTTTCAAAATGCATCAAGCTGGAAAAAAGGGGTTATAGCCAGCTCTTTTTAGAGCCGCAATCTACCTAAGCATGTTTGAAAGTCACTGAAGCTTCATCTTTGATGAAAAGCATCTGCACAGCCTCAGCTTGCAAAGTATCCCAGCCTATTCTGGTCTTTCCTGCCCACTCTGCTTAACAATGTTAATTTATTCTTATAAAGAAAAGTTAATAAAATACACATTCCACAACCAAGTGAAATTGTGTGACTGTGTACAAAGTAGTCCCATTTTCTGAACCTTCCTTCCAATCTCCATCGTCTATACTTTTTTTAAATGGAGAAGTGGTAGTGGGAAAGTAACACTTTGTTTTTGGTTTGCATAGCAAGGTTTTGGTAGTGGTGGGGGTTGCTGCAGGGGTGGCTTCTGTGAGAAGCTGCTAGAAACTTCCCTTGTGTCTGATGGAGCCGGCTGGCACTGGTTCTAAGACAGACGTGCTGCTGGCCAAGGCTGAGCCAAACAGCGATGGTAGCACCTACGGGATAACATATTTAAGAAAGGGGAAAAAAAAACAGCAGGCAGCAATTCCAGCCGGGGAGAGGAGTGAGAACATGAGAAAACAGCTCTGCAGACAGCAAGGCCAGTGAAGAAGGAGGGGCAGGAGGTGCTCCAGGTGCCAGAGCACAGATTCCCCTGCAGCCTGTGAAGACCATGGTGAGGCCGGCTGTGCCCCTGCAGCCCACAGAGTTCCACAGCGGAGGAAATATCCACTTGCAGCCCGTGGAGGTTAATGGTGGAGCAGATATCCACCTGCAGCCTGTGAAGGACCCTACACTGAAGGTGGATGCCTGAAGGAGGCTGTGACCCCATGGGAAGCCCACGTTGGAACAGGCTCCTGGCAGGACCTGTGCCGACCCATGGAGAGAGAAGCCCAGGCTGGAGCAGGTTTGCTGGCAGGACTTGTGACCCCGTGGGGGACCCACCCTGGAGCAGTCTGTTCCTGAAGGATGGCACCCTGTGGAAGGGGCCCAGGCTGGAGCAGGTCCCAGGCTGGAGCAGTTCATGAAGAACTGCAGCCTGTGAGAAGGACTCATGTTAGAGAAATTCGTGGAGGACTGTCTCCCATGGGAGGGACTCCCATGCTGGAGCAGAGGAAGAGTGTGAGGAGTCCTTCCTCTGAGGAGGAAGGAGCAGCAGAAACAAGATGTGATGAACTGACCGCAACCCCCATGCCCCGTCCCCCTGTGCTGCTCAGGAGGGAGGTGGTAGAGAAATTGGGAGCAAGATTGAGCCCAGGAAGAAGAGAGGGATGGGGGGGGAGGTGTTTGAAGAGGTGGTCTTATTTCTCATTATCCTGCTCTGACTTCTGATTGGCAATAAATTAAATTAATTTCACCAACCTGAGTCTGTTTTGCCCATGATGGTAATTGCTGAATGATCTCTCCCTGTCCTTATCTCAACCCACAAGCTTCTCGTTATATTCTTCTCTCCCCTGTCCAGCTGGGAATGGGAGTGATAGAGTGGCTTTGGCAGGCACCTGGCATCTAGCCAAAGGCCAACCCACCACACACATTTACAACCAAATATCTACGGTTGTACTCTTCTGTCTCAAACAATCCACAGGCTGAGAAAAATGTCCTATTTACATTAAAAGGGTATAAACCTGAAGGAAGATCCTCTCTTCCCCCAATTCTTATTTTACTAAATAATTCTATGTAGAGAAACACAAAAGGAAACAGGTCATCTTGATGTTTGCTATTTCAGTACAGTATTGTTCTGGAACACATCTGAACATCTTATTTTTTGCCTACCTGTAGCTACAGTTAGGTTACTGAACTGTCAGGAGTAAACAAACAAACCCCTGCCCCTCACAAAAAAAGAAACTTACAGAATCCTCCACACTGGAAACAGCAGCAGTTATTTTATCTATAGCTATGCTGACTCCAACAGCTGAAGGAATTGGTCCTACTGTCTGTGGACCTCTAAATTGTGGAATCTGAAACAAGACAAAAACAAAATGGAAGATCCAAATAGTTATCTTTGCAAAATGTCAAAAAGGTTTTTCATTTTTTCTTCTTTTTTTTTTTTTCATGATTTTTTTGTTAAAGAGGTGAGCACATACCAGATGATCATATCTGCCCCCTGCAGCAAGAATTTCAGGTACAGTTCTTTGTCTCCTTTTGATGTATGCTATAAACTGAAAGATAATACCATTGTGCTGCTGTATTTTGTAAACTAGTCCCAGATTTATAGAAACCTGTAAAATAAAAATGAGTATGTGTATAAGACCTGTACCAATATTACCAGTTAATTAATTTCCTATTAGCAGTATGGACTGAAAATACTATTCTCACTCAAGGAAGACATACAGAAACACTCGTTATCTCCAAAAATTTAAAATACAATTAAAAATAAGAAAATGGTGCTTTAATCTTAAAGCATCCCAAAAAACCTATAGCACAAAACCCAAAGAGCAAGCCCTAAGGAAGGTGCAGGAGAGGAGGCCTTTAGTAGTCATCAGCTTTCTATATTTTTGAAATATTTATAGTTTGTTTCAAAATTGAAATTTCTTTTATTCTCTAAGTAATGCCTTCAGTCTTGGTTGGGGAAAAAAAAAAAAAAGTCTGTGTGTCATTAGATAGAAGTTAATCCAGAGAATTCTGCCTGGAAGAGTCTTAATTCTTAAAATGAGTCTTAAAAAAAAATATATAAAATCAATACCAGTATTATTACTTATCATCAGAAGATACTTCGACGTGTTTTTTCTATTCTAAAATATAATTAACTTGTTTCCTGGCAAATTACAAGGCCCAGCAGCCTATAAATCCATTAATTTATTAACAGAGTATTTTACAAACCTGAAGTTTTATTCCAAGTTGCTTTAATAGACCAATGATTTCCTCCAAATCCTTCATGCCATGCTTCAACAGCTGAGTGACACCTGGCTTTTGTTTTATCATTGTGTTTAAAAATGGAAATACATTACTTGCTTCTCCCTTCTGCTCAATGAATCTGTAGAGTCGAGAAAGCTAAAACCAAGAATCAAATAAAAGACATAGATAGCACCACTGACAGCGCTCGTAATAGGTCACATCTTAAAAATGAAAAAACATATTTGACTTGGTGTGAGTAAGATATCTACCTTTTTTGCCTGTTTTGCCCAGCAGCCTGTTTTTACCTCATGAGTTGAGGAAAGGAATGGACAGGCACAGTCTCACCAGGGTGCCCAGAAGCTAACCTCAACTCTTTATGCACATTCATCAACATCTGCAAACAGCTTTTTTAAAAAAAGTTTCTCTCAGTTTGTTTTACTAAATACCACTGTACAGTATTCCATACACCCTTTAATTCCACTTCATGGTCTGAAAAATACATTTAGAAGAAGAAACAAAAACAAAATCTGACCACTTCCAAAGAGACTGATCTATTTTCAACAGCAAATGTTTACAGTTTATTTTTCTTACTCTGGTTGATAAAAAATTGCAAAGTAAATGAAATATTACTGACTTATGGCACGTTACAGGGAAATTAACACTGAATTAAAATTACTTACACTATTTGATGTGAGAGAAAGATTACAGAATTTGGCTTCTACTTCTCTTTTAGTTAGTTTTTCAGTCTACAAGAGAAACAGATGCAAACATATCCAACAACTCAGTTACCCAAAAAAAAAAAAATACTATTGTTGAGAATTAAAACACAACTTTCCAATACCTTTAACTAAAGGTTGCATTTACAAACTGCAATAACACTGTAGAAGAACAAAAAAACAATAACACATTTTTCCACGTAACTTGTAATAGGGCTATATTTAGCTTGGTTTCACAGAGCAACAAAAAGTATAAAAATAACAACTTTGTGGAAAAGCACTTCTGCATAAATACTGAAATGCTTATGTCAATTAATAGACTAAAAAAAGAAAAGAATGGAACAAAAAAGGCATTTTGTTGGGATTTAAACAGTACCTTAATTATTCAAATGAATTCAGTCTATTTTCTCAGCTTGTAAGTAGAAAAGACCAACATGATATTAAGATACGTTTTAAAGTTTTTATTGACTAGCCTACCAGTTCTTATTTATAGAGATGAGTAGTTTTCTTGTAAATAAACATTTAAAAATCATCTTAAAATGGCACAAAGATAGTCAGCCTTTTTTTCTGTCAACAGGATATTCCTTGTTATGATGGCAAACTGTTACTCATTTTTAGAGATAAATCCATGAAATAAAGATAGTCTACAGTGATGATTACAGAGATTAGACTGATGACTACTATCTTACCACAGCATCATACAGAATGATGTAAACTTGATTGAGTTTATCCTCTGGTATCCCACAGTGCAAAAGTATAGCTTTCAGTAATGCAGTGTGGTTCAAGTAAATACTGTAATTTCTTTCCTAACAAACGGTAAAGAAAGAAAAAAAAAAAAAGGAAGAAAGAAAGGGGCAAAAAAAAAAAAATTTAGTTGCATGCCATTTTGCTGGGGGCAAGGGAAGAGGTTTCCTAAATGTTTAACAATAATTCAAAACTAACTTCAGACCTCTTGCTACCACCTTACCTTCCATCTATAACTGAAGAATGGCAAGGCTTGTCCATTCTACAATAATCATTGCCTGACAGAGGAAAGATGTTATTTCAATGGCACTGTAAGGGTTCAATTAGTATCTCCTTTGTCCACAAATCTATACTAAATTTTAAGTTTACCTACAAAACATATTTTGATTTAAATGACCGTGTTCTATAACTGACTATCAATAAAATATGAAAATAGTTCTGTACTTGTTAAGGTTAAAGGAACTATCATTTATAAACACATTAGACTGAATACTTAGATTAAAACTTTAGAATGGAAAAGAGAGCGAAAGAGATGAGTAGAGAATCTACCTGTAGCACTGAAAACTCCTGAATGATTTCTGAAATGGCATAAATTGTTTCTGCTATGGGCAAAAAGCTATTTCCAGAAGACGTAATGATGTCAAATGCACATTCCAGGAGTTCTTTGGGATGACAGCGGTCTAACTTCCGAGGTCTGAAAACTCGCTCTATACAGTATCTAAAGGAAACATGGAAGAACATATAAGCAACTTCAGTGGTCACTGTCATAAAGTATGGCATCGTGCAACACAATCTGTGTCACTTACCTTTTCAAGTTTGATATGTTATTTCTAGCAACAAATCTTGCAAATGGAATCTGAAAAACAAAATACATTAAAACTGTTGGAACAAAACATTCAGTCTGACTAGTCTCTGAAACTGGAGATGAATTACTACTGTGCAGTAACACTTGTACTCTCACACGTGTAGTAATGCCTTAAGATATGTGCCATAACCAAGTAACAATAACCTAATCATTCTTGCTGCAAGTTTTATATAAAAACATCCAAGAAAAGCTTGGAGAGGGACAGAAGGACCTTTCGTAATTACCCTAATGCATGGAAAATGGACCATAAATCGTCTATGAGCATATTAAAATATACAAGCAGATATTTTGCTGTTCACATAAAGATATAAAGGAGGGTTTTTTAAATAAATCTTTGGCCAACACATTTTCCAAAACAAGTAATTCCAACAGAAAAATCAATACTGTAAATCCTGCACAAACCCCTAACTGTGAATCATATTCCATAGCTTGATGTTATAAATGCAAAGGATAGATGAATGTTGTGGGTTGATCCTGGCTGGATGCCAGGTACCAACCAAAGCCGCTCTACCACTCCCATTCCCAGGTGGACAGGGGAGAGAAGGTATAATGAGAAGCTTGTGGGTTGAGATAAGGACAGGGAGAGATCATTCAGCAATTACCATCATGGGCAAAACAGACTCAGGTTGGTGAAATTAATTTAATTTATTGCCAATCAGAAGTCAGAGCAGGATAATGAGAAATAAGACCACCTCTTCAAACACCTCCCCCCCATCCCTCTCTTCTTCCTGGGCTCAATCTTGCTCCCAATTTCTCTACCACCTCCCTCCTGAGCAGCACAGGGGGACGGGGCATGGGGGTTGCGGTCAGTTCATCACATCTTGTTTCTGCTGCTCCTTCCTCCTCAGAGGGAGGACTCCTCACACTCTTCCTCTGCTCCAGCATGGGAGTCCCTCCCATGGGAGACAGTCCTCCACAAATTTCTCTAACATGAGTCCTTCTCACAGGCTGCAGTTCTTCATGAACTGCTCCAGCCTGGGTCCCTTCCACAGGGTGCCATCCTTCAGGAACAGACTGCTCCAGGGTGGGTCCCCCACGGGGTCACAAGTCCTGCCAGCAAACCTGCTCCAGCCTGGGCTCCTCTCTCCATGGGTCGACACAGGTCCTGCCAGGAGCCTGTTCCAACATGGGCTTCCCATGGGGTCACAGCCTCCTTCAGGCATCCACCTCTGGCGTGGGGCGGTGCTCTGGTGGGGTCCTCCCTGGGCTGCAGAGGGACAGCCAGCCTCACCAAGGGCTGCAGGGGAATCTGTGCTCTGGCACCTGGAGCACCTCCTGCCCTTCCTTCTTCACTGGCCTTGGTGTCTGCAGAGCTGTTTTCACATGTTCTCACTCCTCTCTCCGGCTGCAATCCCTCCCTTCTCTTTTGCCACTTCTTAACCATGTCATCCCAGAGGTGCTACCACCATCACTGAGTGGCTCTACCTTGGCCAGCAGCGGGTCTGTCTTGGCTGGCACAGGCTCTATTGGACATAGGGGAAGCTTCTAGCAGCTTCTCACAGAAGCCACCCCTGCAGCACCCCTTGCTACCAAAACTTTTCCACACAAACCCAATAAAATTAGTCACACTGACATCCATGGAAGTCATAAAAAGTCATGTTGTCTAACTGTGAATAATAAACAAAAAAATACATAGCTTAAAGCATTGAGGTGTTAATTTAAGTGCAAGGTAATTAACTAGGCCAACACTGCACATAATTGGGTAGTATTGATAGAGGAATCCCAGACAGTAAGATTTCAATTGTACAAACAGGAATTCCTCTCAAGAGTAAAATGATGCTTGACAATATCTGTTTGAGGAGAACATAAAACTGGACAGTCTGTTACCCACATTCTCTATAAAGACATATAAATAGGAAAGGGATGGGAATATAAGATTTTTCACTGGTCATCAGAAAAGTCTTGTCTCATATGTACAAGAAAAAACAAACAAAAAACCACAAACCCAACCCAACAGTCACATCTACCACATTTATAATACAGCATTATTTTCACCTATGTTAAGCGGGTGGAAGTATATTTCTTCCTTATGTGGTCAGGGCTTCAGCTGTCAAAACTAGGACAGCACTAAGGCATACAGGAACAAATACTGGAAGACACACTACTTCAAGAGTCAGAAGAAATGTAAGCCTAAACCAAATTTGTGACTAGTGAATTGAAGGTATCTACAAATACCACAGCACTCTTCAAACCCAGCCTTGCCTGCAAAGATGATACTACTTACTCTGAGGTCATAAGGAAGCATTACCAGCATCCCACTGTGATCCATGAAATACGAAGCTTCATTATGTTCGTATAGTTTTTTATTTCTGGGCATTAGCAGTGGAGTATGCAGCTTGATGGCTCCTACACAAAATCAGTAAAATACGATTATCTCCCATTTCAGAAGTAACATCTGCTTTTCACAAGCTCAAGAACAACCTTGCAGAGTATGATAATCTCAACCAATACTTTTAAAAAACTATATTATTTTAAGTGTTCTTAATAGACTTTCCTCTTCCACTGTTTAAGGAAAGCCATCAAACAAACTTTGATGTTCTATCTTGCACATTTCTTGGGCTCAGC